GGGGATTGCCCACAATAGGGTAAAGGTAGATTAGGAGCCAGTGTAATGAGAGGCAAAGCATCTCTTTAGCTTACCCTTTGTCTTTGCCTCCATCCACCGAGCCTTCGAGGAGAAGGAGAGACTTACTTCTTTAGCCAGTGGCATCCACACAAGCTTTAGCTTTATTTTTCATCATCCTTTGCTCCTCTCCTCCCTGCCAACTTCCTCCTATTTTCCCATCTCTACCTACTTTTTTTTCTCCTGTATTTTCTACATCCTGAGCTGTGCTGACACTTACTCATGCCAAAGCAGTCTCACGTCCTTGAAAGGGGATTGTCAGATCTTCTAGAATATGGAAAAAACACAGTCGCTTGCCAGCCACACTGGTGTGCGGCACTTGGGTAATAGGCATAATAGGGTCATGCCTGCATTTAATAAACAATTACCCATCTATAATAGATGAGTCCAGCTCCTAAGGCCCAGTGCCTGGCCTGGGTTGGAGAGAGGGAAGAGAGAGAGCGGGAAGGTGAATGAATAATGCAGCGGAGTTGCCCATCAGAGCGCCCAAAACGCAGTGCCAATTATCTTCGACTGCTAATGATGATCATCTTGATGCTCTCCCCTTTTACACCCCCTAACACTGCCATGCCTAAATCTGACATTTACCCAGCTGCTCCCACACCTCACCTCACCTCACCCAACTTGCACAACACGAGCCAGGAGGCGCGTTAACCAGCATTTATTTTATTTTGGAGGGCATCCAAAATGTATTTATTTTTCTTCCTGTTGGTGGTCAGTGGTCATACCTGCTCTTTGTGAATTTCAAATCAATCAGGGACTTCTCTTCAGCCGCTTCGCATTCAGTCCAAGGTCACCCAGATTACACAAGGTTAAAGTGTGCACGTGCAGGAAGACTTAGGGTGGTGGTGGTGTAGAGAGGAGGGGGGCTTGCAAGTTGGATTAGCATACAGCACTGGCAGAGCAAGGGAATTAAAGGCAGCACAGAGGTACGATGGCCAAGCAAAATGGTCCCCGCTCGCTGCTGTATTTGAATAGAAAGCCTAAGATACGTGAAAACAGAGTGAGGAAGCGAGGAGAAGCTCCGTGGCCCCGAGGATCAGAGGGGGGAGGACCTGTGGTGCTCAACTCAGACTGCTAGTGAAGTCGATAGGGCCCCAGCAGACAGCTCCACTGTGGGCTCTGGGAAAAATACATAGCCATTTTGGCTCCCTCGGGGCCCCGAGTCTGTGGTAATAATGGGATCAGAGCCATGACCCTCCCAGGACACCGTACCGCTGTTGGATATTCTATTAGTTTTCTCTGCAGTGAAAAGAACTCCGTGCTCAGCTACTTTCCTCACTCCGGATCACATTTGTTTTACTTTTATGTCGGTTTTAACAGCGACTAATCGAATTACTTCAAGTTTCCAGGAAGAGATTTTATTAACAACAGAGCAGAGTGCAGCGTTTCTTATGGCTGCCGTAAAACCCTCCTAGTATATAAACTGTGGATATCTTCTAATCATATCTAATGTTCTTTATGTATGCAAGGATATTGTAAGCTATTAACATATGCGGCAAAAAAAGAAAGAAAAAAGAAAGAAAGCCCCATAATTGTTCCTTTTTACCATTTAATCCCAGGCACTGGAAGATACAGCAGAGATCACATTAACATTTACATTTCTGAATCCCTCCACCTCCTTGATACAGTTCCAGCTTTCAGCCCCGGCATCTCATCTGCCTTTACATAATATCAGGGCGTATTAATGCTACATATGGCACTGTCTGTGCTGTGCCGATTTACATTTTTCCTAATGATGTGCTTTCATTTTTCCTCCTCTTATCCCCCGTGTCCTTCCCTTCACCTCCAGCCCACAGCCCACTGTGATTTAAAATGCATACAACTGTGCCGCTGTTTTTTACTGCGGAATAACAAAAAAAACACACACACAAAAAAAAGAGCGGGCCGAGACACCTTCGGTTGCCCCGGCTCCATCTGTTGCACATCTGGAAGTGGTGTGCGGCACCAATAATTGGAAGTCAATTTGTTTGAAGTTATGTATTTGGCATCTGGTGCGATTCATAAAAACTCTGGAAATCGCATTAATTTTATAGCATCTTGAGAAGGGCCTTTTTAAAAAAAATTCAATTCTCTGTCTCTCGTGTTCCTTTGTTAATGCACGTGGGGGCCTCGGCGGTCCATTGACGTGGGAGTTTGTCGAGCGTTGGTCAGGGTGTGGTCCTTAATAAAATCAGCCCTTAGAGAATCATGGGAAGTATTACTCTGGTGCAATGGAAGAACACAGTCAATGGTATGAGCATTAAAATGTGATGCTCAGACTTTGGCGAAGTTTTATATATTTTTTTTCACCTTTAACTTTGACCTTAGCTTCAGATCGCTTCTTATTTTCCTGAAGGGGGGAAAAAAACTCATGGGGAGGGGGGGGCGGGGTAGTTTGCCACATTTCCAGTAGATGGGTTGACTGATTGAGAAGCAGCATGGTGTTGTTTGTCACACAGCTCTGAGTCATGGCTGAAAATAGATATGACACTTGATGTTTGGTTCCTCACTGCCGGCTGTCATATTGTTATTCCCACTCAAATTTCACCTAATTTGTGCACAAGTCTTGTCACAGTCCAGATCCTGATGAGGGCTTTTACGTGGATTTCTCTCTCTCTGTCTCTCTCTCTCTCTCTTTTTTCACCTTCTCTTCCACCTATGTGTGGCAACGAAGCTCAGTGATACACACACCTGCGCGTGCATTTGTGCGGCGAGTGTGTGTTTGTGTTTACACACGAGCACATTTGATTAGGCTTGTTTGTGTGCACGAGCGAGTGCGCGGCCCCCCGTGCATATGTCTCCGAGCTTGCCATGCCTCCAAAGTGAGTCACCTCAGCGGGAGGTGATTAAGAGTTGCCAATGGCAGGCTCGACAGGTGAGCGCATTGTAGCATGCTGGCAGCTCTGGCATCTGTGCAGGTGACAGCTTCTCCTGCTCGGCGGTGGCGTCAGTGTTGGTGGGTGGCAGGAGGTCTGACAACGTTGTTTTGGTGACAGAACGACTGCGCTGTGAGGTTCACGACATCACTTGCCTTCTTTAGATTTGTCAGTTTATGCTGGGAAGTATATGGAGTACCCTGGACTTTAGCATATACTGCCAAGGCACAGTTCCATATGGGAAAGTAGTGTTTTCCAGCCATTGTTACACAGTAAAGGTTTTTTTTATTCTTCTTTTATTGGCTTTTCTTAAATAATCCACCACAAACGTTCCCTATTGGCACCACAGTCCTGCATTGAGTTTCTTTTCATTACTGCACAGTGTGATAACAACACACAGCCAGCTGCTGCCACCTGCTGTTGCAATCAGGATACAGCAGCAGCCTTTTCTTTTCTTTCCTCCTTTTTTTTGCAGTCGTGGAAGTGAGGTGATTCACCGAAGGGGACCATGTTCCTGTGGGTGCTTGTAGTATAACAGAAGGGAGGTGAAGTATTATTTTACTAGGTGCACTTTTTTTTTCTTTGCAGATTCTGTAAGAAGCTAGAATCCCATCTGTTTCTCTACGACGGAAATTAGGCAAGGACTATAGCGAGTGAGATAAAGATTGAGAGAGTTGCGCAATTGGAAATATACCCAAATTTGTTTTACATGTTCAAGTTTAACTCCTTACACATGCAGCTAATGCCTCTAACATGCAGGCAGACATGTTTTCTCCATCCAGCGCAGACACAAACCCTCCGAGTTTTTCAAACCTGGGCTTGATGAGCTGTGATATTCCTAATAAAAAGTCACTTGTTCTGATGTCACTGTTGCCTCATCCGACCACATTTCCTTTTGAAGCATGTGCACAACGGACCTTGAACTTTGCCTGTGATAGCTTTTTGATATGGAGGAAATGAATTAGTTAGGAAGTGTGTTTTGTCTATAGAGTGTGAATGTTTTGGTTTTCTTTTTAATTAACACCTTTTTAAAATGTTCTTGCTTCATATCCTTCCAATACTTTAACTACAACAGAGAGTGCTGTTTTGTTTTGTTTAGCATAACAGAAATCTGTATTTGCCTTCTATAACTGATTTGGAAAGTTACTCGTAAACATCACTAATCACTTTGTAGTTTGAAGTGGCTCTGCTCCAAACCAATTGATTGGATCTTCTCTTTATTTGCAGCTGAAGAGGAGATGCGAGTGGGATACGTTTCGATTTCAGTACACACTAATAAGACTCTGAAACATTAATTTGAAGAGGCTTTGATGAGAAATCCATTTGGGAAGTATTGGCGTGTTTGTTGTATTATTAATGCATGACCTCATGATTAGAAAACCGCTTGTTGATGTATGATTTTTGTCAATGACACAGCTACTTTTTTTTTTGTCAATATGAGATCAAAGAGTTTTTATTTCTGTGTCACACAGAAAGTTTCTGCGGCTAACTTTGATACAGATTGTTTATAATCGTATTCCGAAAAGGACACCATCTCCACAACCTCTTACCTCAAAGGAAACTTTCTCGGCTCTCGGCTAACAGCTCTCAGAGCAACTCTTTATCCGTTGCCATTATTCATCCTCAAGGGCTCATCAGCTCACAGTGGGCTCATCAGAATTATTACTCCTCCTCCACTTGTCTTTATTATCTAATTTCCCTCCTCTCTCTTCCTTTCGGCCTCTCGTTGCCAATCAGCCACCTTGTAAGGCTCCTCGCCTTTCACTATGAATCTTTCCAGGCTTTTTTATTCACTCCTGTTGTCATCCAGAATGTGCTTTTCTTTTCTTTTTCTTCTTTTTTATTGCCCCCAGTTTACAACTAGTCACTTTGTATCAAGTTTTTACCTGCAGGTTTGTGGGTGTTGAGTTAGAAGTAAAAGTTTTTGTAGCAAAGTGAGAAATGTGTTGCTTGGATGTGACAGATTGCTAACTGAAATTCCTGACGGTGGCTACAACAGGTGTGACACTCAGGAACAACTGTTTGAGGAAGGGTGCACCAATGAATCCAGCATGACAAGAAATAAGAAATACAAAAAAAGGGGTTTATTACGTCGTTCCCACCCCTACAAAGAAGTTTTTAAAAAAGGTGTTAGATAATAATATATATACTTTTTATGAATAAATGGAATAAAACATATAAATACACCAACATTTCAAACAAAAACATTTCAAAGACACTGATGAGGACGTGTTAGGCATTGGGGTGAGTACATCAGTACTGGTCAAATAAGGCACATCAAATAATGCAACCATCTGCAACGTATTAACATGATCTTTTGTAAAGAATTAATGCTTTCATGAAAGGAAACACCTTTGGTATGTTTTTAGTGGTTATTTTGCATATGTTACAGTGTGTGGCCACCACAGTGTGTTTAAAAAACAGTAGTCATTAACATTATGTACTTATAATTGTCTCCCTTTTTCTTATAAGTCTTTTTCAGCTGTGTCTGGGAGGCAGAGAATAGTTGAAACTGTCTGTAGTAAAGTTAAAAAGAGCAGCCGGTCCGTGGTGTGCTCACAGGATGTTTCTGTTCCCGCTCAGCTTTGGCGAACGTCAGTGTTCTGTAGCTTCAACACTCAACTGATCGACAAGAACTACACGCTTAATGCACAGGTGGCACTTTAAAGGAGTGCTGTCAGCTGTCGTTTAAATTACTTGCAACCCTAGTAGGAGTCTTAAATGTATGCTCGGAGCCATCACTCAGTCATTTAAAGGCCACGTGGATGCCCTTTACCGACAGGGATTATAGGTGATAACGAGACTGAGGGCACCCTTATAGGTCATCACCCTCGGCAGAGCTGAAGCTGCTCCTGCGGCTGCTGTCCTTGGATGCAGCTCCGGGGGAGCCGGCCGAGAGGAGCGGATCGGTGCCAAACGGCGACAGTGGGTCATCCATCAGGATCTCATCCAGCTGGTGTTCCTCCTTAAGCGTGGTGGTGAAGAAGTCTGTGAAATGGGACAGCGGGTCGGAGAAGGTGGTGCAGGCGTCAGTGCCACTAATGTGATCCTGCGGCCCGCTGACGGTGGCAGTGGATGGCACGCCAGATGCCGCAGCTATCCTCTGGAGGTAGTCGTTGTTGATGTCCTCTTGGTAGAGAGTTGGCTGCTGAGGTTGCTGGGCCTGGGGAGATGATTGCTGCTGCTGCTGCTGCTGCTGTTGTTGTTGTTGTTGTTGTTGTTTGAGTAGGTGGGAGGAAAGTTCGACCGTCCCCAAGGCTGTGGCCATGTTTGGTAGCCCGTGAGCTCGTGCTTGAATCTCAAGCTCCTGGAAAGCAAAGAAAAGAAACCTTTTAAAAAATAATAGGTTTAGAAAATGTGTGCATCGCAAGAGCAGGCATAGGTTCAAAGGTGCTGGGGCTGGGTTGCAAAGCAGTTTGCAGCTGTAGGTGAAGCTGCCAACTGGATGCACAGATGGATGTAAGCTGAGACGTCAACTTTTTTTTGAAAAAAAAAAAAGCTATGTGTAGTATCTGAATAACTATCTAAAACTGTGTGAAATTCATCAGTTATGAGCTGACGTCTTTAACTAATATGGGAGTAGCTCTGACACAATCACAGTCACACCCTGGCTCCTCCACATTCTGAGGTTGGATTGGGAGGTTCACTGCGTAATCTTCTCACACTTTTACAGAGTACATTATCTGCGCTTATCACCCATCAGTGACACCACAAAGCCCTGCTGTTGCATTAAGCCCTTTGTTTGCTGCCCTTTTGTCGGGGTTGGTTATTGTTTCACACATACTTTTATCATCATTTCTGATTACACATACTTTTCTTTTCTTTTTTTTAGCATTCCCATCATTGATATCTACTCTGGTTAACCACAGTGAATGAGTGTGAAAGTCTGCATGTGCATAGTGCAATCCTATCAGCACACATTTATCAGTAAGCATCTCTTCTATTAGTGCTCTTCATCTATTTATGCCCCTGCTGCATTCCCTGAGGTCGCAGAGCTGAGGTCATTGTGTTTATTTATCAGGTAATTAGCACTGACCTCTATAAGAAAAGATTATGGGATGTGAGGGATCTTTTGTAAAAGAGAGTGGTGGTGAAGGTGGCGGGGACTGTGGGAGTCCCTAAGTTTGCGTTGTGGTGTCGTAAAGCATTCAGGTGGAAATTAGCGTGAAGTACCTGGGGATGATGGATGTGGGACTGGCAGTTACCAGCTGATCTTTGGCAGGAAGAACTCAGTATTGTAAAATAGAATTAAAATATTATGCTGTGTGCTGATTGGCTTGTAAAAATGTATATGAAATATAAGTTCCTTCTTTTTCTCTCTGTGTTTATCAAATGTGTCAAGCACTTTATCTGCATTTATACCACAGATATAAAGTAAACCCACTGAGACATTCACATCTTATTACCTGGATCCTCAGGAGCAGCCTCCTATTGGCTTGCTCCAGCTTCTTCTGACGGCTTTCCAGCTCCCGGGCGTGCTGCTGCTCCTTCTGCAGCCATCTTATGTACTCCACTGAGGCCTTGAGGATGGTGCCTTTGTTCCACCGCATGTCGCTGCAGAAAGGAGAAACGTAAAAGATAACCTTTTACACAGAACCCCCTTATGTCGGCAGAATATCCTTTGCAATAAAAAAAAAATGCAGGGAAAAGTTTTAACAGAGGTTTTTTTTCTCCCCCTTTTTTATGATATGAATAAGAAATGGTGATTTACACGGGGCAATTATTCATCCTTGGACATTACATGGGGACACTGAATGGGAATTTTAATAGAATAGTTAAGTAGGTATGTGGAAAGTCCATTCTTGTACCTCCTTGTACGGTAAAATTAATCCTCGAATAAAAATAGGTGAAGGGAAAATGAGCTAAGCAGGAAGGCAAGGAGAAAAATGGAGAAATGGACTTAAGGTGCTAGAGTGCAAGTCATTCTTTTGGAGATATTATTACTTTTTTAAAAGAGGACAGGGAAGCTGTAGTAAAATTGTCCTTTTCCACACGAGTGAGACGTTGGCCTGATCAGCGCTAATAATCTCTTTTATCCCGCGTTAATGGCACGACGACAACGCTAACCTTCCATTTAAATTTGAAGCAAAGTTCAACTGCGAAAGATGGCCGCGGGATTTCAATTCAGTTCCACGCTCCGTCTCGGTGTTCCAATTGTGCTTCAAACTTTGATTCAAATGCCGTGGCCCGCTTCTTTGCATTTGACCCTTTCCTCATCATTCATGCTTTGAGCTGAACTGCCGGGACCCGGCGAGGAGACGTACAGCTCGGAGAGCGTCGACTACAATGAGAGTTCAAGTGCACCCTTGAAATATGACTGAAATGTGCTCGAGCACTCATTTGAATTCAATGAACGACTTTTCGAGTGTCTTTGTGCTGTGAATTTAATACCCAACACACAGGTTCTTGCAGTTGTTTCAGTGGCGTGAAGTGAAGCGAAGCAGGAGGTGGGGTGGCGGGGGAGAATTTTTCAGTAAATATATTTAGGATTTTGCAACTTACGGATCATTCGACTTTGGTATGAGTGTTCCAAGCTCCTTAATCCTGTAGTTAATGTTGTATCGTCGCCTTCTTTCAACTGTGCAAGCAGAAAGAAAAAAAAGGGAGCAAAAGTTGATGAGAGCAGTGTCAGATGCTGCACCAAAGGTTATCCCAGATGTTAAGGTATTATGGAGCTGAACGGCGTGGGTTGGAGGGGGTGACACTTACTCAAATTATGGTTGTCTTTTTTCTGCCTCTCTTTGGCCATCACCCTTGTGTCGTGTTCTGTCCAAAAAAAAGCAAAAAAAACATAAAAATACACGAATAAATAAATCACGCAGGAGAACGAATGGATTAGCAATGCACACAGATTTAGAAACTGAAAGACAACAAATACAAAAAGCCACAGAAGGTCCAGTCAGGAGACGCACAATCAGCCGTTTTGAGGGGAGTTCAGCGCCAGGGTCAGAATGAGGAGTGTCTGTGCAGCGAGTCTACACTACAGACATAAATTTGACCTCCTTACACACACGCTGACCCCGGTTCATCCCCCTTCAGCATGTATGAAGCTCATTGTAAAGAAAAAGAAAAATGGTAACCCCATTTTTTTTTTACCGCAAAACATTCTATAATTAAGAAGATTTAGCGAATTGACTCATCCGTCCGAGAAGGACAAAAATTCCAGTGTATCCATATTTGTAGTCACGTTCTCCTAAATTACATAATTGGGGACCTGAGATTGGATTTCCCAATTTGTCTCTTGTTGATTTATTCAGGACAATTTGAACTCTGTGCAACAGCCCATTGTCCCCTCTGCCTACTCTCAAATGAAACAGATGGCAATGTTCTTATTTGCCCATTGAGACTGAAGGATTTCATTTATTTATTTATTTTTGGTCAGGCATCCTTTCTGTTTCCTAATCAGCTTTCGTCTGGGTGTTTGTAATTAATATGAACAAAAAAACCTAAAAGGATCTCTTTTTTGTTGTTGTTGTTGTTGTTGTTGTTGTTGTTGTTGCCTTGAGATGAAAAGTCTCCACTAGTGTCTAACAAAGGGAACTTTGTTTTAGCTTCTATTTTTTTAGGTTTCACAATGTGAGCAACTCTTTAATGGTTTAGCTGTTTGGTCAGATTATGGTATGAGTTCATACCTGTGTATTCCCTTTTTACAGTGAGCTTTGTAGGGTTAGATGTAGGACTCAGTCCACCATTAGGGGCGTTCATACCTTGTTCACCCCCATAGACGTCCAACATGCTGCTGCTGAGAGACACCTAGGCAGGAGAGAGGGGAGATGCAGAGGAAGAAAGGGGAGTGAGTTAAGTGAATGGGAAGTGCATTTACATTTCACACATTCACACGCACATAAACAAACAGGGCTTTCACACTTTGACACAAAAGCCGCCAAACAAACAGTTGTTTTTAACTGCTGTGTGGCTTTGTTTGGCAAAACTGACAAGAGACATGTGGAGTGATCAGAGCATTGAAGAAAAGATTGTTAGCATCTCCTCCACTCTACCCGGGAATGTGGCAATGGAGTAAAAACAACTTAACAGAAACGCAACCTAATTGTAAGACGTTTTACCCCTGACCTCGAACCCAGGCTTGCTGCTCGCCAAGGGGGCGATTTGACCAAACATAGCGCTTTGATTTGCTAATGGTACCATTTTCAGAACCCCTCCAGATGAAAGTGCTCCTAACACTGATTCGCTCTGTGTTGAAAATAGCATCCCATTAGATGAAAAGGCTAGCTAGGTCAACTGCATGAACAGAGGCAAAACTGTTTTCCTACGGGTGTCTTCTTGTCTGAGAACACATGTATCCCCCTCTGCAATAATACGGCCTTTTCATGGAGTGGAGGGACAGAGATGTCTGGATCTTTAGCATGATGGCACACGTGTGTGTCTAATTCGCATTTGTGTATTTATGTCGAAAAAAAAGCATGCCAGAAGCCACCACGGATTCCAACTAATTTTATCTCCAACGTGTGTTAGATTTAACAACCACGCTCTTATATGTGGAAAAAGGAAGTCAAGAGAAAATGAGTGTTAGCTGGTTTTAAAAATATGTACGTGTGTATATATATATATATAGGAGGAGGGGACAAAATTGCATATCAAAATAAAAGATAGGAACAATTCCCCTACTACTAAAATTGTAATCACTTCAATTCCTCTCCCGTCTGCGTTCCTGAGTGTGTTGACACAGCGAAACGATGTGATGCATCGTACTGTATGACTAATTAGGATGAATTGATCCATTTAAGCACGGTATCATTTCTGAACAAGCCCATGGGGACTATGTGCATTAGGCCAATCCACTGGCTCAGTAACTCTCTCTGGCAAAATCTCTCACTCTTCGCTCCTGGCTGTTGCATTCCTGTCTACATTTGAAACCCACTGACTCGCCCTCATTCTTCCTCCTCCATTACAATGTCTGTTGTGTTTTACTCTGTTTTGCTTTATCTGTGTGTGTGCCTCTTTTTATTTATGGAGTTAGGCCTGATTCCCATTGTGTAGCTATGTTCTCTGGCCAAACTGACCTCTTGTCCCAGAGTTTTTGAATTCTTCCCTGTCTGTGAATCCTACTGGTGCATCAGTGCATCCACTTCATTTTTGCTAAAGAGTTAAAAAGTGTGCATTTTATGTGTTTTTTTTAGACTGATTTAAAGTTTTCCTTTATGTTACTAAATGCTTTAATGCACTAATCTAAATGTCAGGTTTAGATTTGATTACTTTGAGAGCATTTATTTGATTTTTTTTGTTATGCGCACATCATTACAGACTAGTATAAAAAGACCTTTCTCACATGTGATTTTCCTATGAATTTATGAATTTACTATACATTTAGCTTTAGTTGTTAAACGCATGTCATCACTTTTCCTTTAAAAAAAAAGTTCTTAATCTGCTTTGTTAAACTTCTTTAGTAATGTTGCTAATCTCAAGTGAACTTTGACTCATTTCTAGACTTAAGCTGACCTCAAACTGAGTCGGGTCCCCTTTTTCCCAAGCGAGTCAAACCAGCACCTAAGGGTTTGGGTAAAGAAACCTCACTTTCAAGTCCCCATTCAACTTTAAAAACAGAGAAGTGATTAGTTAAGGGGACTGTCACAAATCTAGGCTCACCTAGTCTAACCCACAGAGGCAGCCATGCAGAAATGCAGAAATCAGCACAAAGCATTATTTAAAAAAAAAAGGGGGGGGGGGGGGGGGGGGTTAATGAGTAGCTATTAGAGCAAAGTTGATGTGATTCATACTTACATTGTTTTGCATTATGATGTTAGGCTCCATGCAATCCAAGCCTCCATCATTGAAACCGGATTCAAGACTAATTAGGTCATCAATAACTTCATCCATTGGAAACTAAAAGAAAACAGTGATTTCAGTGTACTCAAGGACAGACTGATGATGTTTGTACCAGAATTTCAATGCTGTCCAATTCGTTTGAAATCTCAACATTCAAACCAGAATAGACAAGGGAAAAAGAGGGAGGAACTGTGGAGAGATTAATTCAATAACAGACGAGCTCTTCGCCGCCATGTTCTCAGATTTGTTAGTGGTGCTGGCGGGAAAAAACAGGCATCTGTTACCAACCTAGTTTCCTCCTTTGAAAGGGGTTCTCTCATCAGAGACTGCATGTCTGAAGTTATTGATGAGCACATCAGAGAGAGAGGGCGATCAATAATGGCATCACTTTGTTTAGATGATTAGTTGGACCTGCTCCCTGCATTAAGATTCAGACCCAATCCAGATAGTACATTTAGTCATAATTGATGCTTCTGAAGTATGCACCGTGTCAGCTATCCATCTCAACAAAGTGTCAGCCATTATTTATCACCCTTAGAAAGAAATTAGAGGGGCAGCAACAAATCTTTCACAAGTGCTTATTAAAAATCAACAGAGAAGAAAAGCTTTGCTTTAAAGTAATAGGCTGTGCTGAAAGGAAAACCTTGTAAGGATGTTGTGTAATCTACAAAAACCATGAACCACAGTTCATCCGTAAGTGACCCAGTCTGTGGTTCAAAACTTCTGTTTCAATTTCACGGTCGGAGTTCTCTGAATTTCAGTTCCACAAAGTCATGACTGAGATTCTTTCCTTTTCCATGCGTCCACTCACCTCACTGTCATGATTGGCCATTGTAAGCAGGGTAACAGGGCTGTTGGGGTTACTGCTGTCACTGACAGGGGGCATGTGTCCGTTCCTCATGATCGGCACGGTGGCGAGTGCCTGGCCAGGGGTGTGCGGATGTGTCACAGCGTGGCCTGATGCGGCCGAGGAGGCCAGCTTGGAGCCCAGCGTCAGGTACTGCTTCACGGGCTGATTCTGGCTCTGGTGGAGATGGAACTTGGAGTTCTCCAGGTGGCTCTGTACCTGTAGCAGAACAGATCATTCAACAGTTCAGCAAGCTGACTAAGTTAGTCCAGGAAGCGCAAGGTTGGGCACTGTTTCCCATACCGCTGAAACAGCGCTGACTCAGAGTATTTGCACAGGGGTTGTCCAAAACAGCTGTTGACTTTATGAAAAGAATATCTAAAGTAACACACATAACTAGTTTGCCGTGATTAGTCACTTATGCGCAGTAAATTTACAGACTTGCAAACTGTAAGTTAGAACTCATAATAAAGTGAATCATGTACAGAAATAAAAATGTTGAAAGTGTCTTTATGGGAATTTGATCTCATTCTCTGAACTCATTTTCACAGTCTAAAAGTTAAAAAAACAAACCTAAAAGCAAAAAGCTTTTCTTCCCCCCTGAGACTTCAGCTGAATTTAACCAACTAAGCTGACTATTTTTACAATCAATCTTAATATTTAATCTTCAGTTGATCTTGAATTACATGTCAGTACAGCAATAGTCAAGATAACCTTAAAAAACATTATGAAAGCAGTGTTAAATAAACTTTACCAAGCCGCTCACAATGTTTCTAAAAGTTGGTATTCTTACATTTGAAGCTCTGGTTGCATCCCGCATTGTGTAGTAACTGCAGTCACTTAAGTGTGGCATTCTCAGAAAAGCAGATAATCTTCAAATTGATTTGTTCTGGTGTGGCAGCAGGTCAACTTTAGGGATCCACAGCTGCTGCTGCTGCTGCTGCTGCTATCCTGTTGATCTGGTGACTTCTCAGTGAGTGTCTGTCCCTTCCAGTCTCCCTACCAGCTCTTTATAAAGGGCCCTAAGTGAACTAATTAGGCCCAAAGCTGGGTGTAAGCCTTTATGTTGCGTAGCAATGATAATCACTTCAAACACTGGACTGTTAGATCATCCAAGGTTTGATCACTGCAGGGTATCTGCCTTTAGCATCTATCACTAACTCCCTCAGACTGCCCTTTTCTTTCTGGTTGACCAATCAGTGGTGATCTCCCAAAGTCCTCTGCAACCCTCTGTAGGGGTTGTGGCAGCACAATTGACCCTTGTTCCCCAGTGAAGTTTTTAAATAACTCCTCCAATGCCATTTTTAACCAAGCCTTTCAATTCATTCAAGGCTTTTAAAGTAAATAGTTTAGTATTATGCGTTCCCCATACAATAACTGCAGTAAATCTGTTTTGAAGTCTCCTTTGGTGTAAGTTGAGGGCAAATTTAGGAAAGAACATCCCTCCTAAAATATCAAATTTTCATGCTTGTTGGTGCTCACAAAGATGGTTGCTGTCGTGACTTGCTTTATTAGTTTAGGGGCTGCAGAGTATTTAGGGGAGTACATGAAGTGCTATGATTTAAGAATGGTAGTCTTGTTGACTGTAATAGGTTGGTCAGTTTGCCTGTGTCTCGCGTACTTCCTCCCAAATCTGTTTTATTTACTGGTCAAAACAGCAAGCTCTCAGTTATTTTAAACCATGGAATAGATGCTCTTTCAGGGACTGACGGAATCAGGACCCACCAAAAACTGAGCAACAACAAGCTCAAGAAGCTTCGATTGGCCAGACCAGTATTACTCGAACATGATTTGAAAATGCCGATATTTAATGTGTTCCTAATTTCATGGTAACACATTTAGATCACAGTACTCAGCCTTAAAAACAGGCGACAGGTGTCGTTTATGTGAGATGAGGAAAGCAGCTAGCTTATTTAAAATGCCAAAAAAAAAGTATCATCAGCTGTTGGTTAGAACAGTCCAAGTGTTACTTCTTCTACGCTGCCTCAGAAAAAAAAAATAGTCAGAACTGATTTGTTATGCAGCTATCCTTTATATCGTCATGCTTTCAGACCAAACTTCTTATTCTTCAAATGCTGTCTGGCACAAAGCTGCTGAACTGTAGGGAGTTTTTAGCTTTGACAGCTTTAGAATTGGTCTTTATGCTAAAAGTCAGCATTAAATTCCCCCTTGTCAGCTAGACTAGCTGACCTTATTCACAACTCAGCCACCTAACTAAGACCAGGCTCATCACAATACTCATCTTGTCAGTAGTGACTAAGAGTTGTTATCTGAGTTCTCCAGGCTAAACAAGATGCCAGTTGTTAGCCAATCAACATTTTTTTCCACTTTGGATAGCAGGAGGGATGCCAGGACCGCTGCACACCACATCTGCTTTGTGTGACAGCGGATTGTCCTGGTTTCACTTCAGCTTTCTCACTACTGTAAATGCCGGAGACACGCTTGTTATCCACTTAAGGAAATCTGATTAGATTTGAGGAGTAATGGTGCTTCAGTCACCAAGGCCAGCCTCGACAATGGCAGGCCTGTGCATGTGTGAAGCGGGCATGCAGGAAAATTATCAGTGCCCGCCATACACATGGGTCAGGAGAGAATATAAGAATGTAATCAATCAGGAGTTTGGGCATGTTGTAGCTATTCAGATGCTTCAGTTTTGTTTTGTTTTGGTTGTTTTCCTCTTTTTCGGCACGGCTACCAGCACCTGCTACAACAATCGAGGCAGTGTTTGAGATTATTGGCACAGAGGAGGTCATGGGTTCAGTTTTCTATTTACACACATTTGTACAGTTATTCCTGACATGCAAACCTACATTAAACTATGAAAGCTTTTTGCCTTTTGACTTAATGCACATAGTTTAACTTTAGAACACACCTTCTTGTCAGCATATTTCAGAGTGTTTGAATAAAATAATATATATCTGTATCTTCCTCACTTTTCGTCATTAGAGATATTAGACCACTAAAATAAAAATGCCAAAACCCAGAACATGCCTTTGTCCCTACATATGTCCTAATCAAATCTAAAGCACTCTACAGTACACGCCCAAGAAATCCCATCACAAGTGAATACAACTGCAGCTCTTCAACATATCAATTCAAAGCTCTGTCAGGCTTAAAATAAAGCAACATCCCAAACCTCAGCTTCTACTTACAGATAGCAGCAGGCCCGAAATTACAGTAACACCTTCACAGCTAAACGTAAGCCCAGTTCTTTAGCCTCTATTTGTGAGATCCATTTAACAGTGGTGTCATTTACCTCGCAGTTAAGAGGCGTATTTCTTTAGTGGCCCTCTCCCCCCGAAATGCTGCACTCACAAAGCCATTGTACTAGACAACCTTGCAGGTTTTACATTGAAATGCACAAAGCTCTTGCCTAATCCAGTTTCAGTCTTGCCCAAGTTCTCCTTTCACTTCAGAAAAATCCAACAACTTATGAAACACTGGGTGATGGTGACATTAGCTAGCTGTACAAATTATGGGCAAAACCTACTAGGAGTTTTCATTTCTGCAAAATGCCGCACTTTGCGACATATTGATGCAGATTATTAACATCTAACATCTTGTTTTCCCATCTCAAATGGATGGAGATGAGTTGAAAGTGGAACAAAACTCTTCCTCGGTCATGCTTACTGTATTTTGCTGAGCCTGCTAACCAGTAAATAGCTGTAACCACCCACTAGATTGTGCAATGTGAGGAAAGATAAGACTGGGATAGCGAACTGATAGCAAAAGTCCCATTCCACGGTGCCTCCATGGTTAGTCTGGCTGTAACTGCAAATGTGTCTTGCGTGCAAACAAATGCACACATAGAATTTAACACAATGTTTTCTTCAGTGTGTGTCATTGCCTCAAAATTCCTGGGCTGTAAATAAGTCATTTCCCCTACCTGTAAAAGTTGGATCTCTGTCAAGGTGATTACTTTGACCACACAACAGCGGCTCATGGCTCTCCAGAGTGGCAGCGTCTCCCACCACAGGAGCTGCAAATCCTTACAGAAGAAGAACAACTGTCACAGCCACAGCTTCGTCTCACACCGTGACAGGAGGAGAAGAAGAGGAAGAAAAAGAGAGGTGCTGCAGCCTCCTTCCTGAATTTTTTTTTTTTTTTTCAGAAATATCAGAAAGGAAGCCATGACACATCAGCTTATTTGGGAGCAGCACGAGCCGTTTCCCCTCTGTAGCTGTGTGTCTGTGTGTGTGTTTGGTCAAGGAAAAGGCCTGACAGAGGCAGAAATACAGATGGCATTTACAGTAGGGGGTTGAAGTAAGTGTGTGAATGTGTGTGTGCGAAGCCATAATAAGTTGACAGAATGTGAATTCCTGCTTGCTTGTGGATCACTACACTTTCCTGCTTTTCCCACATAACATCCAGCCTAGCTCAGCGCAGTTTCCTGTCTTCATGACACCAACTTCCCAGTGGAAGTCATTTTATCCACAAAACTGTAGTCACTTTTCCAACACAGGGAAACAGGAATCTTGAGAATGTGTGCAAACATGCTAAAACACACATTTTTATTATGTTCTAGTTATTATTAGGCCAAAAATCCCTGAAAAGTCCTCCCTTTAATCCCAAGATTTACAAGTTTTTATATTAGCAGGTGAATAAATCTGAATCAGAGTTGCTCCGATACATGTTCTGGGGTGAACTCCACACTTCATATAGTAATTATTTTTGATTCACTGTAATAAACACATCAGGATTAATTTGAGGACATTGAACATAATGGCTTAAACTGAATCAATTAAATCAATCCTGTGCAGACTTTGGGTTTTAAAAGTCTTCTTTCAGCAGTTTAAATGCAGCCTGCCCCACACGTGTCTATGGTCAATGTTTTCATTACGCAAAGAATGCCCTTCTTGATGCTACTGTGCACAGTAATCTTCTGTGTATATAGCGGATCTAGATCATTAGGTAATATTTATGCTGCACTATCTGGATTCTGTTGCTGCTGTTTGACCATCAACACAAGGCATGCCCATCTCTCCAGCTTATCTGTTGCTGTGTTTTCCTGCACTCGTTTTTGTACTGTTCTAACCATTACCCATGTGTATATTTGTCCACTATTTTGTTTATTTGATGTCTGCTGTATGTACGCTCCATCAGATCTAGGCAAAAATTCCTGGCTGGCCATTTTTGGCTCATCTTGGGGCAAGCCACAAGTGCTCACCTTTGTTAGTCCCCCGTCATAGCATGTTTTAAACATCAGGGACTTCCTGTAAGAGTTGGCCTGCTTCTGAGACAACACTTCAAAGTGCAGCGCCCACATCTGAGGACTGTTTTATCCTGCTAGAAAAGGAATGCATAATGGACACAGCACCACTGCACTTTTAATGATTCTCATATGAATTAAATATTACAGCTATTTTAACTGGATTACACATGAAACTGTGTGCGAGAGCATGCGCTTGTTACCTTGATGAAATATTGAATTTAAGAAAATGGTTCACCTCAGCAGTGCTGCGAAAATAATTAAAATTCATACTTAAAGTAAAGACATCTCACTGTAAAATGATTTAAAGGTGCCCTGTGGAGGTTTGATTGTAAACAAACTTCTTTTTTTTTTTAAAAATGCCATCATTAATTACAAAAACACGGGTAATATTTTGAAGCCTGAGAGAAAATGAAATGTAAATTCGTACAGCGCCATTAGCGGTACATAACTACAGCTGTGGTTAAAAAAGAAAAACTGATTCCTGTAAGTACACAAACAAAACCTATTTAACTATATTTGACTGATATAGCAAGCAGAGGACTTAGTTGTGAAACTATTTTCTCTGGTTTTAACACCAAGTCATATATAGAAAAATATTTTCATAATCATTTTACTTAACAGTTCACTTTCCACTGAATTTTGGTTTAAAAATGTAGTGAACTAAAAATGTGAGCTACTGTAGCAAAGTGCAAATACCTGACATAACACACTAATAGACTAACAAAGTATACATTTGTGGCTGACTCGTTTACCTTTAATTTTACAAATGAGTATTACATAAATAGCTACAGTCAGCTGAAGGTCTTCATTTTTTCTCTCTCTCCTTCTCTTTATTTATGAACAAGTGACGTATTCTCTCCACCTGTCTAAGCAACGCACACAGCATACATCCCTAGTTATACACAAACATCTATGGGTACACTGAGGTTCATTACATGGAATATAAATGGAGCTGGCTCCAGAGAAAAGAGGTTAAAAATATTTAACCAACTCAAAAAACTACAGGCAGATGTTGTCCTATTACAAGAGACCCACAGAGCCTC